CTGTATATCAAAACTCGCAAGTGGGCCAAAGCTTATGATTGCTTACGCATGCACGCGTAGCCCCTTGCATAACAAACAACGTGTGGTTTCCCTTTGGTGTTCTTTGAAAAAACACCATCCGACAGCGGTCTGCAATGTAAGGATGCCTCCATAGAATCCGTCTGCACTTGGTATTGAATCCGCCATCTGCATCCTGGTCCAGAATGGAGGGAGCCGGCATGCTTAGTGAGATTATTTATTTCTGCCATTTAATTTGCATAACCCCCTGTTTTCAATCAGGGACACACATGTTTGACGCTGTTGGTAAAGCCAGGGACGCTGAGGAAGCGCATTCACGTTTTGATAACATTGATAACAGCCTCAGTTGGGTCTTAGTCGCTGTAGCCCATCAGAATCTCAATATCCTCGTCAATGGCTTTGCCTTCCTAGTTATATCAGGGTCTCGTTGCTCACATCAAACAATAACCAAGAAAAGAACATCAACAAACATATCATAGCATAACTATCGTCTGGACCAGCATGAGCAGCACCTTACAACCTCGTAGGCTGTCAAATGGGCCAAGTCAAAGCCTTTCTTCAGATGGGGGAACGAGGCAACCAGCCCGCCGTGGCGCCACACAAGCTTCGCGTTGTGCTTACAGCCAAACCGCCCCCACATGGACAAACACAACATGTTGCCACAAACAGCCCAGCATATGCACTTGGGGGCCGCCATTGACGAACTTCATCCAGAACACAAAGCCACACGCACCTCGCTGGCCCAGTGGAGCGAGGAGCCAAGGGAGCAAGGAAGCAACCGCCTCGGCGCGGGTTTGGGTGGTGGCTCCCTGGATAAGTCTAGGATACGCCCAGGACAAGGTCTTAATCAACATTTATAGACCCGCGGTAGTTCAGTTGCGCGTTGCGCCTGACAGTCTCGCACTTTGGGCCCCAAAAGATGCAAGTATCTCGCAGTACTTTGAGCATACAGAGACTCAAAAGCCCCATGTTCTTGCTCCTTAAGTTGTATGACAAGGACCTTCGCAACACGTTGAGCATTCAGAGGACCAAAAGTGCTACACCAATTGCCATGCTGAAAAGCCACTATTCGGCACCTTACGCATTTTAGTCAATGTAGTTGTTCAGAAGCAGCTTCAAAAATCCTTCCTTGAGACTACGAAACTCTGCTGCGTGTTTTGCAACATGCCGCGGCAAAGGACAGGTCGCATAACGATTCTGAGCCTGCATAGACCCACTGTCTTCAACGACAATGTCCGCACCAACAAAGGAAACAGTTGATCATGTCTTCAAGTCGCGCGTCTGCGTTCGGCGAGGTGTTTGTCACTTTGCAGGTGAAGTCTTCACGACGCAAACCCAAGTGCTCACGATGATCTTGGTGAATCATTTCCAAATGGATACAAAGTGAAGGCAAGGCCAGACACAAGTTGTAGGCATTTTACTTGTTGTCCATGCCGATGCCTACAACTCAGAAACGCTACCTGTCAGAACAACCCACGAGGAAAGGCCAAAACCAATGACGCCAAACTCCGAAATGGGAATGTTCCTAGAGGCTACCTTTAAAAAGGCAAGCAGGTACTGAAGTGGCTAGTAACCGGGGCATGTTCCATGAAAACAGTCTGTACTCTACGTACAATAGACAAGCATGTCAACGGACAAGTTTAGACATTGTGGGTGGCCAAGTGAGTGGGGCGGACTGCGTGGGAGTTTGCCAGTCAACTCTGCCCTTGCGCGGTTTGGCTTTGTCCATCACTGCAGTTGCATATCTCCCAAACAAGATTGGCCTCTCTTAGTTAGAGCCCTCTCCAAATGGTTGGCATGCGTTTGCTCCTTCAGCCAAACATGTCAAAAGCGGTCTCCAATCTTAGCCCACCCCCCCAGAAAGGACAGTCGCAAAATGAAGGGCCTCCAAATCCTGGAATGCACGGCGTTCTTCTCAACCACCAATGTCAAGCAATGATTGCCCACAAAGCAGAATCCGTCCAGTGCATGCTGACGGGGGGAAAATGAGAGGATGTTTGCCAGTCGCCTATCGGCTGATTAAGCTTTGACCCACATGGTAGGTGTTGCGATGCAAAGTAAGATCACCTTCCCCCCTTTCTGAAACTGGAACACCGTCCTTATGCGTGCGTTTCAAGCAGCCCAAGGCCCAAACCCAGACCGAGCACCAAGAGTCCCGATAGCCTGCGGCGGTTCGCGGTCGCAGCGTCGCGGCGCCAAACCAATTTTCGCCAGTGTGGGAATCAGAAAAGCGGCGCAAGGAGGCGCCAAGTGCAAGCAGATCCGAAATCCGTAGGCATGGAAGAAGGCTAGGCAACAAAGAATTGAGTCACGGGCGATCATAGACTGTTGGGCCACTTTCCTGCTACGGGCTTCCAGTCGAAAGCAAGGCTGACACGTGTCCAGGTTGACTCCAATGTAACATGCCAATGACCCCAATTCCTAGCCGAAAGTCCTTAGCTACGAATATGTTGTTATACTCAATCCAAGGAATGTTTAGTCAGCCTGACCTTTTGGATCAAAAATGAGCGACCTTCACCCATCGGGGGGCGAGCTCATCCGAGCAGAATCCATTCTGATCGGGGCTTGCATTTTGTAATTCATCCGACTCGGTGAAAGGGCATAAGGAACAAACATGGCCCCCTTGAAGCGAAACCTGTAAATGGTGATAAATCTGCAATCGTTGATTCGAAAAAGACATAAATTACTATGGACTCTGTCACTGACCTTTCACACACGAGCCCATACTGTACGCAGAAATAGATGCCCATGAGCGATGCCGTCACCTTCCCCAACTATAGATCCAAGCAGTCTCACTAAGCCCCCCCCCCCCCCCCGCACAAAGAAGAGCATTGAGTTCAAGTTTCCTGTGGGGTCATTTGCAAATCATCCAGCACGACTGCAACTTCGGTCTTTGCCATCGAGCATTCGAGGGAACATGCTCGGACTCTCGGCATTTTGAGACCAAGTCGACCTCAGACCGACCCTCGGCATTTGTCCCAGACTGCACCAGTACATAAATCAAAAGAACCTCGTTCAAGTTCACACCCGAAAGCCCTGAAAAGTAAGAGGAGCTCATTTGATCTTTATTTGGTAATCGAATGTCGCGTCACGCCTGGCCATCGCGTCGGCCTGCAGAGATCATGATTAGAAACACACCAGACCCTCTGCAACGTGCTTGTGAGGGTGAGAGGGTGGGAAGGCGAAGTCCAGGATTTACACGGTTTCCTTTCCACACACGCAACCCTTGCCGTGAAAGTGCGCGGTGGCGACGAGGCAAACTGCAAACTACCTAACGTTGCGCATTTCAATCCATGCCCAAGACCTTTCCGGTCCGGAAAAGAATGCTTGGGAATTGCCTCTTTGCTCCGCGAAATAAGTGCAAAACTGTGCACAACTGGCCTTCATCCCTTCGTTGCCTGCGGATCTGCGGTATGCCCAGCCAGCAAACCGGCTGGAGAAACGAGCCGTTGCCTTCCCGTGAACTCTCGGGGACAACTCAACAAAAGTGCAAGTGCCCCATGACGCATTTCAGGATGGCCTTTGAACCCCAAAAAATAACTTACACACATAAACCCATTCAATCCCTCTAATTGGACAAGGATAGTCTTCCAGCAATGGATTTCCAACGGGGCACTTCACAATGAAGCGGTTTCAATTGGACCTACCCTGAGCGCCAGCTATGAGGTTTGTAGCACCCTTCACGGCCAAGCAAAGATTGGGATGGCAACGGCCGAAAAAAGCAGACCTCTGTGTGTTTGTGTGTCTCAAATCGGTGGAGGCACCAACGTGGTTCCTTCTGGTTGTCCTCTTCAAGGGGCCAAAAAGAGAGGCGCCAAGATAACCACACCCATGTTTGCAGAAATGACAACCGTGCGACCTCCCCTCAATCTTCTCCAATCTTCCCAAGCTTTGGGAAGTCACATTCCATTGGTTCTTCAGATGCCCATCCTAAAACTGGGCTGGCCAATTAGGACCATCATGCCAGGCAAGGCTCAAGCCCAGGTCAAGACACTGTTAATGGAAATACAAGCCGTCCAACAGGATACCCCGCCCCAACGAACACATACAGACTCTTGGATGTTGGTTTATTCACCACCATGGACTTTAAAGTTGACTATAGATGATGAATCGGGCGATCGTTCATAATCCTCTGGCTAAACAAAACCATTCTGGGGTGCGAGCAATTTTGGCAAAAACTCTGTTGGGTTTGTGCAAACGTGGATGCGCCTCGCGCCTTGGCTTGCCCTACCAGGAATGAAGACTTGAATGCAACCGATTTCTGGAGACTCACACGGTGGCTTTACTTATCCGCAAAGATCTTCTGTATTCCGAGTTGACTTGAAGATGAAGGAGATGCTGGTTCAGGCGTTGAAATAGCTAATCTTAGACACCTCTCAAAAAGATCTAGGCACATCAAAATAATTCACCAGCTGCAGCTGGGGGAACACCAAGAAAATAAAATTAATCATGGTTGATGTCGCTAACCCCCTTGTGAAGGCGAACAAATTGCCTATAGAAAACACGTGTTTTCCCATGCAGCGGGGAACAATATCCTTCTCCTTTTCTAGCAACCCAACCAAGGTTCACCGGGTGGGTGGGTCTCAAAGAAGGGAATCGGAAAAAAATAGCTTCAGTGTTCCGTTTGATTTTCGGGAAAACCAACTGAAACAGGTACCGCCACAGAAGTCACACGCCAGCTTGTTGGAACCCTGGATGATAAACCCTGCCGATTTACTTGGATGTGTTGTGTGGGGAACTCCCACCAAAAAAGGGGCATGCCCAATTGAGCAGTTCTCTAATTTTCAATTTTGGCCAAAAACAAATCCACGCAATGGGGTTCGAATCGAGAAGATGATTCCCTTGATAGGGTTGCCAGGTCAGCTCACAACCCACCCCCTCATTTAGAACAACGCTGCAATGAATCAATCAGTGGTTTTCAATCCGTGCCCACAAGACGGAATGTCGCGTGCGGCACGCTTTGTGCAGCTGCATTCATTGTGCTAAGCTGCCAGAATGCCATAAACTGCTAGGTTCGAGATGATCCAATTCTTGGCTTTCCTGTCCTTGGCTCAAGCCGTGCAAAAAGACTTCACTTTTTGTGGTTTAGTAGGACACAATACAGTTCACCAAAAAGTTAAAGTCCAAAGTTGCCAAAAAAGATCTAACCCAATAGCAGCCGAGTATCCGCTTGATTGCTTGCGGGCATGTGATGGAAGATTCTGTCGGGCCAGGTCTTGAGGTCCGACTCCAGCAGCTGAAGCTGGTTCGCTTTCACCCGGAGTTCACTCGCTGTCAGCTGCAGCTTCACGGCAGTTGCGAGGAATGGCCACGCACTTTTCTGGTGTTCCGCCGGTGGCAGGGCAATCTCTGCTGGAAGATTGGCCGCCCTCGCGATGGCCGGCCAGAGTTCCTTCAAGTCCTCCTGACATTCCCTGGAAGTCAAGACTTGCAAATCGTCCACATACTTCGGGATGTTCGTTTTCATGGTCGCAATGCAATTCACTCTCCTCTTCTCAAGACTGTACTTCACTGCATGCTGTAAGGCAGCACCATCTACTGGTTGATTCACCAGGAACTGGTCACATTTTTGCTTTAACGCCTCAACTTGATACTCATCAGCCCACTTTGAAAGGACAATCGCATTGGCGGGCGTCATGGCTTCCATAGTGCAGAGCTGCAAGGCCTTGTAGAAGGCTTCCTCACTTGAGTTGTCACTCGGACGATTTGCCTCTCAACTTAAAACCCTCGCACATCAACGACTGAGATGAGAATTCCAGGGCTAGGAAGCCCAATGCGCAAGAACCAATGAACCAAGCTGTCTGCTGAGAACCTCAGATTGGCTAACCCATGTTTACACTTTTGGAGGGGAACACCCCCAACCCACCATCAAAATAAACCGGGGTTTAGCAACTCGTCCCGGCTTCGCATTGGTTTGGGACGCTCTCTTTTTAAGGCCGGCAGCTACAGCTCGAGTCCTGGAACGAACATGTTTGGCTCTCGGGGTCGGTTCTGACAAAATGGAGAGAAGCACCGGGAGAAACCCAAAGTCGTGAAGCTCGGCCCAGGCAAGTCGCCAGTTCACTTTTGTACTTGCCCGGGAGTTTGATAGAATCTCCCGAACCTTCCTTCATAGCGCTGCTCAGCATGCTGGCAAAGACTGGTGACGCCAGCTCCAGAATCACCGAATGCACCTCCTGACATTTGCTTCATGGGTGCAGCACAACCATACATTACCTGTAGACCCGTTTCTGGCGGATGAACTAGTGGGATCATCCCCCATATTCTGGGTTCGCAATAGATTATTTGTTTCTGGTGGATCCATAACTAGAGAAGGAACAACCTGCGGAAATCAGACAGTGTCCAACAATCATGGAAGCGGCTGAAAGGCTCGCGGAAGACCACTGACATCCTAACATCTTTCAAAGGTCCCCTGTCCCCTTCCACAATTGTTGTAAACTGGGGAAGAACGTATAAATCCCAAACAAAAATACACCCAACACATCTAAGCTGAGAAGATCAAAAAGAATCATCTTCCCTCTAGTTGGTGGATTGGATTGGCAGTTAGGGTGTGGATTCCCATGAGTCCTCTGCCAGGAACAAGGGGATGAAATCCCCAAACTACGAATCCAAACCACCAACCAAAGGTTTTAAAACAGAACATGAAGGAAAAAACAAAAACGGCACCAATCCAAGCTTCCAATTCTCCATCATCCACCACGATCTTCAAATCCGGACCCTTGCGGGGCCGCTTCGGCTCTGCCTCCATTGCCATTGACGGTCCCTCGGATTGATCGATCCGTGGGCAGCCCCTCCTGGGGGGCTGGATGTTTGTTCCAATGCAAAGGCAAAGGTATCTTCAGTCGCGACTCGCTGAATGTTCATGACTACCTCCATGTAACCCCGCACCCCGGGATTTTGCAACACCAAACCGCACGAGGGTTGTGTCTGGGGCTTGAAATGGGTGTGCTTCTTTTTGAGGCTCGGTGCCCTTTGCAAGGTATTTTGGTAGGGCCAAATCCCGATTTTGACAAACAAATGAAAGGTTGGAGCAGTCTCTGAGGGGAAGCGGCGAGGGAGAAATGTTGTGTATATATATACACACATAAATGCCCACACCCCAAAAATTGTGACAACATCATATATGTGAATATATATATATATATTATACACAACAACCCAACTCACGTGCCAGAGTCGTGTTTGAGCTTCCGTTCTGGCGCGCCAAGACATGTGCCTGGATAAACGCAAGTTGCATGAACTCTGGCAATCCATTGTGCACTAGTGTTAAACGCGGATGCAGCACACAGGGGAGGATTTATAGGGGGTGGCACCCCCAAAAAATGATTCGGATCCTGCACAAAAAGGAGACACCCCTCTCTTGAACAACCAAGAGTGCGTCAATCTGGACCCCCGAAGAAAGGAACCAACCAGATGACGTCGATTCCAAGCCACGCACGTCCTTGACTTGAAATCAGTTGCCAAAATCTGGGGTTGCCAATACTCACTCCCCGTTGGCCCAAAACTGTCTGAACTGTTTGGCTGCCCACTAAAATGGTTGTGAGTCAAACATAGGTACCATAACGGCAAATGGAACCGAGCGGTCCCCTGGTGGTTTAATATTGCCCCATCCAAAAAATATGATTTTCATGAACTCGGGAAGTGACCCATATTCCACTTTCTGACCTGCAGGGTCAAACAACAACATACCAAACACTCTTGAGATAGCAACCCTGCCAGGTGGACTTTCACACTGCAAGATCAGATGAGTTCAAGCACAAGCGATGGCTGGATAAGTCACCCAATGTCTGAGTGGTCACGGGGTGTGTGGTCCTTCAGGGTGCAAAACGAAACCATCATAATTTTGAATGGGATGCAGGTGAAATCAAAGATGGGAGCATGAGCCCTGCCCCACTCGCAGTAGATGACGCCTAACATCTACAACTCCCACTTATGACGCCAAGATCAAAGCCGGGAATCCACCTAGAGACCAGGTGGACCTGATTGTGCACGCCAAATCACTTCGGACAGCGCTCGCCCCGCCTGGAGTCCCAAACCGTCCCAAAGCGGCACAAGCTACAGCCACAAAAAGCAAAAAAAAAAAAGCGGCAGAGGCTGCGTCGCGACACGCGGCCGAGCGCAATGCTCAACTCTGCTGTCTTTGAATTTTAAGTCAGGGTGGTCAACCATGAAATCGCAACTGGAGCGCAACTGGTCATTGATTGAGCGATATACCCACCCCGCTTCATCTTTTTGGCATTGTATCGATTGTACAGGTTGTTGTTGGCTCACGAGGTGCATCCAACAATGTTGGCTGACAACCGTCAAATAAGGAGTGCTTCCCTTTTCTGACACAAAGCCTCAATGGATGGCGCACGCCCCCTCACGCCAAGCCGAGGCTCCAAAGGCCTGATCTTTCGGAACGGGCCTTGCCTCAAGTAACAACCAGAAGTCAAGCACGATGTCTTTGTCCAGACCTGAGTTTCAAGCCATTGACCATTCGACTCAGGCTCTGATTAACTGTGCCCATAAGAGGTCATGACAAATCAACAACTCTGCTCCTTGACGCACGCAACAGCCATTTGCCTGAGGCTGCTGTCCAGGCAAAAGCTGAGCTTGCTAAGCTCTTCAAGTGACTAGTTGAAACCTTCCCTGAAAAAGAGACAAACCTGCCAAATCACAAAGAAGCGCACCTTTGAACAAACCCCTCAAAGTGGGGCACCCTTCCCCGTTAAACCCACATTGTGACACTTGTTTTCTTCTTTTCACATGCTCTTCTGTGGCTCTTTCCGAAAAACCCAACCCAAAACCCCGGCAACAAAACAAAACGTGTTGTGAAGGGCTAGCCCCCCAAAATCCCAAAGGGCCCATGTCCACCCCGCTCCTGTCAGCGCCGCTGCGATAGGCTACGGCCCTAGACACCATGCCAGGCTCCGCCCGCGCCACCTGAACAAGTTTGCCGCTCGGTCCGACCCACGGCGATCCGCTGGCGTGGGAGGGAACGAATAGAACCGAAGGAAACAAGAGAAAAAGAACCGCTTAGTGAACCAGTAGAAATTGATGTGGAATCTAACGACTTGTTTAGTAAACCAATAGAAAAAGAATGGACAAAGTCATTCCAGCACCCCGCAACAACTGCTTTTCCCATGTCCAAAATCCCAAGTACCGTCCAAAAGTTCTGCTGACTGATGCAACCTACCAAGCAAGAAGCGAAGACCTGCGGAATACGCTGGGTAGCTCCAAAAACCTCCACCGCAACAAGTAGAACTTTGGCCCCTAGCCAAGGGAGACTACAGAAAGACCAACGAATTGTTCGATCGTTTTAGGGGCACCTGAGGTCACAACCGTCAGGCTTGCGCAAGGAACTAGAAATGAATTTGTGACCATGTTGGTTGGACTTTTGAGATGAGTTCACTGACTGATTGATTGACTGACTGACTGACTGAGCGAGCGAGCGAGCGAGCGAGCGTCGGTGGGTGGGCGGGCGGGCGGGCGGGCGGGTGGGTGGGTGGGTCGGTGAGCGAGTCAGCTTGTCATCTAGCTACTGAGCTAGTTTGCTTGCCAGGTACAGCGAAAGACAAGCTGGCTGTCTGGCAAGTTTGCCAGTTCATGTTTAGTTAGCAAATCCGCCAGCTAGTTCGCTGGGTGCCTCTTATCGTGCTGGCCAAGTACCCAGCCAGTTTGCGGTTAGCTGGTTGGTTGCTTGGGATTGGTTGCATAAGACGGCCCTAGTTAGCTAGTTGGCCGGTGATCTGCTAGGTAAATAGTTTGTTTGCTAGCCGGCAAGCTTCTATCGAAATCAGCCAGTTTGTGAGCTACTTAGTCGGCGACGCAGCCAGGCAGTCAAGAAGCTGGCTTGAAAGTGAACTGGACCGTTTGTTGGCTGCTTAAGTAGCTACTGGGTTCGTGAAAGAGCAAAAGCACAACTGGATCTGCTTGGAGTTCCCCCCGAAGCAAGCGTTGCCGAAGCAACGCTTGCTTGAACAGTGGTTAGGACTCGGACGCGCTGGCTCGTCTTCACAGAGCAGCATGCAACCATTGCCACTTGGATTGCCCGCATCCCAACCGCACCACGCAGCGACGCCCGAACGTTGCAGAGGCTTGTGAGGAGCGGTCGAGTGCTTGGCGATGCCAGGAGCCCAGGGCAGGCTACAAGTCGAGAAGTCCAAGCCACAGCTCAATTTGCGACGGTTGTGTCCAATGATATCTAGGGATCCCCTTTCCCGCAGCAAACACTTTATCTAAGTTTTGACGGTTGTGTTTCTTTTGTTAGCAGACATCGTTTGCCCAAGATGCCGGCGTGGTTCTGGCAAGATGCGGATCTCCGGAGTCCAACTGACAGGCTGAAGATCGAAGTCGCTTCCCAGAGACAGGTCCAAAGACAAACCGATGAGCTACCCTAAACTGACACGGCTTGTTAAAACGAACCCCTTTCAAGGGCGTGGTGTCATGCTTCTTTCCGACCGCCGCAAAGGGATGAACTCACATTCCCTCTGCCCACCGTGGGCCTTGTATAGGGGAATCCACCAAACGGGAAATCGCCGAATCGCGAGAGACCCTGGATAGAGCGCTCGTTTCCCGCGAGCTCGTGAACGAAACGCCTGCTGCAGGTCCTGGAAGAGCGACCTGAAAGGACGGACTGGGCGGGCTCAAACCCAAAAGCGTCTCACGGGCGAGTTTCCAAAGAAAAGACAAAGCAAACAACTGTCTACCGACGTCAGATCATTTGCCAGCTTCCGTGAAAGGAAAAATCATGCATATGTGTTTGTTTTTTTTTCTTTCTGCATTTCGAGTACATGCCGATCATGCTAGTGATTCTTGTTTCTTGCCTGTGATGAGCTGTGTGTAGGCCGATCGCTTGTCCAATGACCCGGAAACTGGACAATCTTTCGAGACCAAATCTGGCTGAAACCAAGACTTTGGCGGTTTCATGATTGGAAACAGGCCTTGTTCCTTTCAAATATGTATGTGGGCGAGAACATGTGCATAAGTCTATGTATGTAAACACATGCGAGCATAGACACATGTATGTACATATATATATATATATATATATACACAGCTAGGCCAGCACTCAGCAAAGAATGAGAACCGCACGTCAGAACCATTGTCCCTTCAACTGAAAGGTCCCATGGAAATTCAGGATCAACACATCTCTGGATAATATGAACAAAGTCACTCCTGTCGACAGGACGGATTGTCCTTCCGTGGCTGCCAGTGGAATTGCTTGCTCAATCACTGGGCTCTACAAACTCTCAAATTCGTCAATACAAGATACAGGTCTGCCTCGTGGTCCAACGTGCTGAACGAGCCAAAGCTCCGCGGATCCCCCCCCCCCCTTCCGCCCGATGTTGCGGGTTCAACAAGTGCAACTCACCAGGGGCTCTTTGCGGCACTTGGTCGCTGGCTCATCGGACTCTGAGTGCAGCAAGGTGGGCTCTTTGTCGTGCAGCGCCTACCCAGGGCTCCCAAACGCTCGAAAAGCAGGACTCGGCCATCTGGTGACGGGTCAAACAAGGTCCAAATAACAGCCTGGTCTCCAAAAGGGGCCCTAGTTTGGAGAACCTGCCACAGGTTGCCAACCACAAAGGAAACGAGGTTGTGTTCCTTTCTTTTGGAGCTTGAACCCTCCATGCTCTGAATGCCTCCAGTACCCGCGCCGGATTGATCAGAGGTGGTCCCCCATTTAGTCATGTTTAGTCAGGTTGACATGAGGAGACAGTCCCTCCGAACCTGAAACCCGATGACCTCGAGGGAGCAGCTATGTGGAGCAAG